TAAGGTTTTTTCTTCTTTTACTCATCTGGTTGCCTGGTAACGTCTTCCAGTAAAGGAGTCCCTGAACCCCCGATTAACTGCAAATTATAGTTGAAAATTAAGGTTTAGTGCAAATTTAGAAAAAGAAAAAGAAATTCACTTTTTTATCTGCCAAAGTGAAAACTTCCCTTCAGTTCACAAAAACACAAACACAACCTTGGACTGTAGACTTTTATGTCTAATGAGGCCTTTGTAATGGTGTTACACATTGGGTTAATTGCTTAGTAAAGTCCTGTTTTGAAGCTTCAATTTAAAAGTTCTGGCCTTTGCCATCCTAGTTTTGTGAAACCAAGTGTGACAACTTCACATTCATGATCCATTTATGCTACAGTGACTGTGTCCAATATTCATATGTATTTGCGTACATAGAGCCTATTCAGAGGGTTTTCAACCAACGCAAATGTACTCAAAAATCCCAAATGTTGCTCAGCATGGATGATGCTGTGATTAGTCAACATATCGGGGTGACAGGGATGGGAGCAACAGCAGAGTTCACCAGAAATGTGAACAAAATTTTTTTTTTCTATTCAGGCTTGTGTTGATCCAGTTCTTACTCTACCAGGGTGCTGCAGTCTATCCCTGATACTATAGGGCGAGGGGCGGGGTACACCCTGGACAGATCACCGGCCTGAGAGACAGACAACCATTCACTCTCACATTCACTCTTATGAGCAATTTAGAATCACCAAGTAAACCAACCTCACTAACTGCATGTCTTTGGACTGTGAGAGGAAGCAGGAGTACCTGTGAGAACCCACGCAGACACAGGGATAAACTGTGTCTCATGTCTGCGTGGGTTCTCCCCACTCCACACAGAAAGGTCCCGACCAGATGGTGGATTCAAACCCAGGACCGTCTTGCTGTGATGCAGTCAAACAAAATACAGCATGAAAAACAGAGACAGAGGCAGGAGTGAACACTTTGTCTTTCACTCTTCTCCTCAGCTGACTGATGGACCAGCAGCAGCACAACCTGGAGTATCTACAGACCAGCTGCATCACATATTTCTGACACTGTGCCCATCTGACAACATACAGTTTCTGCATGTAGACAGGCCACGCACAGACTGCGAATGTGATAGCTTCACTGAACAATAATTTCTCCACAAGTCAAACTGTTAATGCCAAATGATTCTCTACAGCACACCTTGCTTTATTGCTTCTTTTACTCTAAATTAGATCCTCATTTATAAAGTATATATCATGAAAGACTCAAAAACACCTTAAACAAGCGACTGAGGCCAAAACTTTATCAGGAAAGTGTTCACCGAGGTTATAATTTCAGGGCAAAGTTAGGTAATCTCCTCACAGACTTCTATACAGGCAAACTTCTCTTTTAAACCAGAGGAGTCGCCCCCTGCTGGCCATTGCATAGAATCATTTGGCTCTACTTTTCAGACCTAAAGCTCCACCCATCCATCCATTTGATGCAGAACTTACTGTCTCCTCTCTCTCCTCTCCTGTCAGATCAGGTCCAGGAAGCGTCTGGCTAAAACTGTGCTTGTGTTTGTCGGCTTGTTTGCGTTCTGCTGGCTCCCGAGTCATGTGATCTACCTGTACCGCTCCTACCACTACAACCAGGTGGACACGTCGCTGGGCCACTTCATCGCCAGCGTGTGCGCTCGCATCTTGGCCTTCACCAACTCCTGTGTGAACCCATTTGCTCTGTACCTGATGAGCAAACGCTTCAGGAAACACTTCAAAAAGCATCTTCTGTGCTGCTCCGCTCCCACAGAGCTGCGCAGCCAGAGCAGCAGGAGCACAAATGTAACGACCGTCTGAACCAATCGGTGTTCATGAACTTCACGCCCATGCTTTGGCAGGATTTGAGCCACTTTTGAGTTCAGTAACATGATAGAAAATTATTATATCATAATAGTACCTGAATTAAATGAATTAAAGATCCTCTGAGGTCTAAGTTGTCGTGATGACCCCAAACCAAAGTCTGAACAGTCAGAATATGTAATTTTGGTTCTTCATACATTGTTCTCCCAATTCTAGACAGAAAACAAAGAACACATTTAAAACTTTTCAAGTTTCAAAACTTTGAAAACTTTTGTTTTGGCCTTACATGTGGTCAGGGTTACCAAAATGTAACTGTATAAATCATATCTGTTAAAATACAAGCAGATGTTATGGATAAACTAAAACCACTGCTTAGTGTTGCAGGCTGTGTCTGCCATATGTTACTGTATGAGGAAATGTATGATGAGTTGATCTCAGCGCTGCACAAAAATAGAAAGGCAAAAAAAACATACACTCACGAGCAACTTTCTTATGTACACCATACTAGTACTGAGTTAAACCAAGTTTGATGGAAAAAGATACTAGTAAGAATTTTCAGAGATTTCTCTTCACAATGATGCAACAACATCACAGAGTTGCTGCAGATCAGCTGCACATCCATGATGTTCTAACACATCCCAAAGCTGCTGGATTAAGATCTGGTGACTGTGGAGGCCATGTGAGTACCGTGATCTCATTGTCATGTTCAAGAAAACACCTGAGATGATCTGAGCTTTGTGACATGGTGTGCTATCCTGCTGGAAGCAGCCATCAGTGATAGATACATGGTGTCATAATAGGATGGACATGTTAAGCAACAATACTCAGGTAGGCTTGGGTGTTTGAATGATGCTCTGGTGGTTTTAAGGGAAAAATCGCCCACGCCACTAAACCACCAGCAGCCTGAACAATTGATACAACACAGGATGCATTCTTATGCTCATGTTTACGTCAATTTCTGATCCTACTAGTCAAAGGGTCCAGCAGAAATTAGAACCCATTGAACCAGCCTCACTTTCCTGTCCTTAGCTGACAGGAGTGGCACCTAGTGTGGTCTTCTGCTGCTGTAGCCCATCCAGAGATGCTCTTCTGCAGACCTGGGCTGTAATGAGTTATTTGAATTAATAATGCCTTCCTATTAACTTAAATGAGCCTGACTATTCTCCTTTGACCCCTGAAATCAATAAGACATTTTCACCCAGAGAACTGCAGCTCGTTGGATACTTTTTCTTTTTCAGACCATTCTCTGTAAACCCTTAAGAGAGTTTAATGGGAATAAATCCAAGGAGATCAGCATTTTTTGAAACAAACAATATCACGTTCAAAGTCACTTAAATCACATCTCTTCCACATTGTGATGCTCGGTTTGAACTTAAGGAGGTCGCCTTGATCATATCTACATCCCTAAATGCATCGAGTCACTTCCATGTGATTGGCTAATATTTGTGAACCCTTAATAAGGTGGTCAGTGAGTGCATTTGAATATGAACATCTGTCAACCTATAATATAAAAAAGTTATATGAAGTCTTCTTTAAAAACATGATGCAGATGTTTATCTCAAATCTTTGCAGATGTAAAACCACAAACCATGCGAAATAAAACTGGGCGTTGTTGTATATTGTATAGTTTTCTGTTGCATTAAATGACGTGTTCCACTCCCACTTGCGTTGCGAACCATGCATGAAATGGCTCAATATTTATTTTGTTGTTTGTTTATATCTACAGTATGCCATTTTTAAGGAAAAATGTCAGCGGAGGAGCGATCGCCTGTGACATTTGAAAGTTCATAAGCTGTAAAAATCTTCAAGCTGAACGCAGTAACTTGTGCGCTTCAGTGTAATGCAGAGAAACATTAAGCCACATTTATTGGCTGTTTTTTTTAAATCCCATTATTAAAACTGTGAGATATCACACATTGTGTGTGCAGTAATGTGAGGTAGTGAAGTGTTGATTGCTTGTGTACAGCTGTGCAGTGTATCAGTTACATTCAGCAGATATTTGTTGCTTCAGAGTAACGTGTTTGAAGATGAACCCAACAGCCTTCTTTTTCTTTTGATGTAATGCTGCAGCCATTTAAAGCAACCAGAAGTTGTTGTTTTATTTCTTTTATTTGGACGAATATTCAATTAAATTTTTATTTTGTGACTAATTTTTAGTCACGAAATATAACCTCAACCGCTCTGTGTCGTCCTTTGTCGGAGTAAGAATGTCAATCCCAACAAAAATTAATGTACTGTTGTAAAAATGTGAAGAATAAACAAACATAAAATGGCCTTATTAGTCCAGCATCAACTTAGAAATAACGGATGCCTTGTTTCTCAACATTTTGCTGTATTAATATCTCCAGTTCTCCTTTTTAAGCAACCTTTTTTTTGCATTTCATCAAACCTAAATAAATATAAAACCTGGGGATGAGTTCGTCTGTATCGCAGTACAAAGTCTTTCCCTGAGCTGCTTGTGTGACCTTTTCCTAACGAGCGACTCGACCGAACGGAGCTCAGAACTGAGACATAAAATCATCTTGTTGGTAATAATTTTATTTAATTGCCCGATTGAGGTTTTTTGTAATCTCTGAATGAATCAGCAATGAATTAAGGCCTAATTTTATATCAGGAGTTTGATGGTAAGTTTCAAACTGAGCAGCAGGAGACTCATTATAATGCACACCTTTACAAATGAGCGGTACATGCTATATACAGCCCTTACAAAGCCTTTTCTGAAGGCTCAGGTTTTTCTTTGCTGTCTTGGTGAAGACACGTCAAGTTAAATCTGTTCCAACAAGTTCTTTCAGGTCTTTGCAGAGGTGACCTTTCAGAGTGACATTTGAAGTCAGAAAATTAATTCCCCCTGAGCAACATCAGCCACAAAACACACTCTAACCCTCAGTTATTTGGATCCTTTACTGCAGCTGCTGTTTTCCTTCAGTATATTTTGTTTTTATTTTTCTGCCCCTCATTATTAAACTCTTATTTTGAGCCACAGCACATGCAAGTACACAAATGTATCATTCACACGCAGCTCAGTCGTAATCAAGCATAAAACAGTTTGTCTCCAGAAGCTTTGTTCTCTTCAGGATGGTGTCTGAGGTGCGTCTTGTGACATAAATACACTCACCGCCCACTTTATTTTTCAACTGCTCTTTAGCAGAAATATCTAATGAGCCAGTCACATTGCAGCAAATCAGTAAATTTATCCATGTAGGAATGGTCAAGATGCTGTGTTGAATTTCCAGCTGAGAGAACTGAATGAAAAGGACAAAATATCCACGGAGCAGCAGTTCTCTTGGGGAAAATGTCTCGGTGATTTCAGAGGTGAATAATCAGACTGTTTCAAGCTGATAGGAAGGCAACAGTGACTCAGAGAAGACAAAGAAATGCAGAACATCCTTGAATCCACAGTGAAATGTAGCAGACGAGCAACAGCAGCAGGAGAACACATCAAGCTAGAATTGACTCAAGATCATCAAAACTGGACAACAGAAGATTTAAAAAAAATGTTTCCTGGTCTGATGGGAATTCTGCTGCAACATTCAGATGATGTATCATTGATTAAGGCTGCTGGAGATTATTGGTGCGCGGATATTTTCTTGGGCCTGTTGGTACCAATATCCTGCAGCATATCTGAGTATTGTTGTCCAAGATAAGGACAATGCCAGACAGTACCTCCCAGCCACTCCATGAGGTCCAGTCACAGGAGCACAGTCAGTGAAAGACTTGGATTACCCTAAATGCACCACTGACCGACAAAGGAAATCATTTCTGCCTGTGGCTAACTTGCAGTACAATTCCTCCACCTCCATCTAAAGCACACAAATACACACCGCAGCACATCCTCTACAGAAGAAATAAAGCCAACATGATATGAAGCACCTCAACTTCAACTATTTAATTAGGTGTAATATACTGGAAAATGTATAACTACAGTGTTTTGTGTTAATTCGGGCTATTTTGTTATATTTTGTAACCTTGTAATATATTGTATTATTTGATTTAGTTCAGTTAGTTACTGTCCTAATGCTCCATATCACAAAGCTCAGATCATCTCAGACTAGTTTTTTGAACATGACGACAGGTTCACTGTGACCAAACAGTTTCTACAGTCACCAGATCGCAATCCAGCAGAGCACCGATGGGATGTGGTGTAACGCAAGACTTATGTCATGGATGCGCAGTCGAAAAATCAGCAGCAGCTGTGTGATGCTGTCATATCAACACTGACCAAACTGTATGAGGAATGTTTCAGGCGCCTTTTTGAATCAGCATCACGAAGAATTAAAGCAGTTATAAAGCATCGTGTGAGGTGCACAGAAACCCTCAGTCTTACTCTGTGTGATGTCAGAGAGATGATGTGTGATGGCCACCTCGGCCCGTGTACTAACGGCACTACGAAAGATTCCACAAATAAAAACACAGAAATGTGAACAAAACAGGCCACATTCAAAGTTTACAAAACCATTAGAAACATTTATGAGAAAAATTATTTTAACATAAGATTTGGGTTTTTTTTGTTGTTTTTTCAAAACTTGCCACCTGCATTACCCAGAATGCAACTCTCTAACATTAGTGGTGTGAATTCTCCTGTGTTGTACTCATAGGCACACAGTCTGTGGTTGCTACAAAGCTACAAAAAGGTCTGATCTGCAGTTTTCACCCCCAGCTGATGCTTATTCAAATGACATCCACAAAGCTTCCTGTGGAGCTAGTTTTTATACAACTTATTTTTAATATATGCACAAGTACTCCCAAACATAAAAGACTTTGATGTGTAAAATTGGCAATGTTCAACTTTAAAAACATGTTGGAATCATGTAAAATTCATGAGCGCTTAAAAGAAAGTACAAAAATACAAAAACCTGACACATAAAGTCCCTGCAGGATGAACAGAGCTTATCCTGAAGCGTCCCTCCCTTGTATCCAAAAGATTTCATTGAGCAGCTCTCAGAAAGCTGTTATTACAATACTAAAAGCATCTGAATTATGAAGCTATGGATGAAAACTCTCTGAATGTGGACGCCTTTTATCCTTTCTTCTTGAAAAGGCGAAGCAAAAAAAAAAAAAAAAGCAAAGGACGGCAGAGATGTGTCATTGGTAGAGGAGGAAGTCCTTGATACTGTGAGGGACAAAGAGGCTCGAGGCCCTGTGCAGACGACTCTTTCCGAGACTTCGACGAATACGTAAGCGACAGAGCTGAGACAGAGAGCAGGGACCTGGGAACAGGAGGCAGATCACAGCTGTTAATAAAAGGAAGTGAGGGTCCTCTATGTAAGTGCAAAAAGGTCAAAGGTCAAGGTCAAAGTTATTTATATAGGACATTTCCAGACAGACGATGCTGCACAAAGTGCTTAACAATATAAAAATACCATTAAAAAGAAACAATGTAAAACAATAATAACAATATGAAACAATGACAGGACAATAACACACCTCTGCTCAGCAGTGCAGCTCTCACTGAGCTGTTTGGCTTCGACAGATCAAGAGGAGTCTTCGCCTCGGCGTTCCTGCGACACCCATCAGCTCCAAAGTCCAGGAGAAGATGCACAATGTCAGCTCCTCCCCCCAAAACTGCAGCATGCAGAGGACTGTCCGGCCCGCATCCGATCTGAACATCTGCTCCTGCTCAAACATGCAAACAGAGTGCAACACCTAACAGCACGCAAATCACACAATTCTGATTAAAACCCATCCGTGCGTTGTAAGTGATTTATTGTTAAAGCAGCACGTTGTTATATATTAGCGACTAATAAAAAAGTTTTCAAAAATAAATCCAAAGCACAGCTCTGAATAGTTTTGAGACTGGCTGTCACGTCTGACAGGTTGGATTGATTAGAAAAGCTTTTAAACGTGTGCTGATGTGAACTGTGACACCGAGTTTCTGCTACGATGGAAAGCGAAAGAGAGAAACTGCAGAGCGTGCCACTAAAAGTAACTCAGAGCCCAGCAGGAACAAAAAATGGCAGCTGTATTTAAATATTATATGGCTGGAACGAACGGTTCTGTCCTCTGTTGGTTCACCTTTGCTCGGCGATTATCGTTTCAAACGTGGAAAATCCAAGACAGACGTGTTAAATGTCAACTGACACCTTCAAGTGCCTCGGTTTGTCTGATAAGCAGAGCCAAACTCGAAGATATGCGGTCTAGTTTGAGCATTTAAGTCCCAAAGATGAAAGGCGGCACAGAAGAAAAGCTTCACAACTAAGTTATGTCAAAGGAAGAAATCCTCTCGTTTGAGAAAACACTAAATGAAATAATTAACTAATCATTGCACCTCTGACTCAGTTTAAGAATCAATAAGTTGTTTTTTTAAATCTGATTCTTTCTTTCTTTTACAACTGTATACAGCAAATAAAAGAGCTGTTACTGTGTTTGCTGAAACAACTGTTTGATAGACTGGTTTGTGTAATTACAAGAGTGGAGTTTTTCATTTAAAAAAAACAACTTCAGACTATTATACAGACTGGGCCTTGAAGTGCCTTAATTTTCATGACTGAAACAAACAAAAAGCAAAGGTGTGACTGGTGATTATTCCTGACTTATATTACCTGAATACAGCAGCACCTCTACGCAGGCTGCAGCCCGGGCCATGCAGGCAGAGTAGAGTGGCGTCCCAACGTCAGGCAGCTCCAGATCAATCTGAGCTCCATGGGCCAGCAGCAGCTCCAGGCACTCTCGGTGATCTGGAGGAGAAGATGACAAATGCTGACATGTAGTCCACATTCATAACCAGAAATTTCTTGTAAATGGATACCTTTGTGTACCTTTCTTGGCAGCCTCATGGATTGGAGATGCCAGCTGGTAGGTGGTGTGGATGGAGGCACTGTGCTGCAGGATGAGCTTGAGGCAGGCAGCGCTCCCGCTGCTGCAGGAATTGAAGAGAGGTGTGGCGCCATCTGTTGACACTGCCATTGCCTTGAGAATGATGTTTGTGAGGAAATGCATCCAAAAGAACGGAGTGTACCTCATTCATTTATTCATGCATGTGACACAAACATACACAAATGCTCAAACAGAGCAAACACACGAGACAACCAACAACTGAAGGCTTCTTTGCATGCAGATTTCAGCTCTGACCTTTCTCCAGTAAAATCTAAACTCTTCAGCAACAACACCAGGTTTAAAACGTGTGAAAACAAAAATCTGTGGTAAAGCGGGAGAATCTGTGAGTTCGCAAATGAGCTCAGCTCTTTTTGAACTGCACAATTTCAGGCATCCTGTAGTGAAATTTACAGGAAAGTGAGTACGATGCTCAAACCAATCAAATCAAGCAACTGAGGTGCAGATTTTTTCAGCTGTAAACTAATTGGTTTACCAAAATAACTGCATTAACTATTTAAAAATTACAGCCCTTTTTATAACATCCATCCATCCATGAGGTTATTGGGGCACTTACACATAAGCCCTCACTAATATTCTGATTATTTAGCTGGACAAGCTAATATAATTTTAAATATAGGGGTTGTTTTTAATACATGAAGGCCTAAAGTCCATTTGCTGGGTTTGCTCTCTTGTGACACAAGCCAAAGTCTTTTATATCAACTTCACAATGATAAAACGAATTGTTAGATTCCCCCCATCCCCAGTGTTTTATTAGTGTATGTGAAGTTTAGGATTGAGTTTCAATCCATCAAATACTTTTCAAACCAAAAGTGAAGGGATCCATTTTCATGTATGATCAAAGCAATGAGACGGTACATAAATTCTTATCACTAAATACAAAATATCAGATAAAGTAATTCATCTTATGAGTGCAAAAATAATCTTTATTTGGAAAAAAGACGTTAAATGCCTGCATTTCAACCCAAATGCTCTTAATTTAATATATATTTTTTTTTAAAATGTAGCCTTTTCTGTAACCTCTTTAGGGTGCATCTGTACATAATTTCAAAGTTTTGAGGTTCTGAAACGTGTTTGAGACCATGCTAGCACAACAAAGGAGGGTTTACGATATGACGTTCTTATACTTCTGTGGGTTTTTCCTTTTGATGAAACCTTAATGCTAGACAAGTTAAACAGAATCATTTTCCAAGTCTTTGTTTGTCTAAGAAAGAAATACCAAGAGTGAGCGATGACCTAATTATCTCACGTCACATAAATCAAATGTATGCCTGGCCTCACATTTGTTTTGGGCAATAGCCAAATGATCTATAATCTCCATCAGGCATCAAGTTCAAAAAGGATAAGCAAAATAAAACTTGTGGGTTTCTTTGATGACAGAAAAATGTATCTGTTCCTTCTTACATTGGCTCCATTATCCAGAAGAAACTTGGCACAAGCGTAACGACCCCCGAGGCAAGCCTCGTGGAGCGGCGTGACCCCGTCCATGGTGACTGTGTCAACATGGAAGCCCTGCAGGGAGAGATCAGAGGATTTTCATTTGACTTCTTTTCAAGAAGTCTTCGGGTTGTAGACTGTAAGTACTCGACGTACAAATCAAGATTTAAGATTACCTGAGCGATAAGGGCCCTGAGGTGGAGGAGTCTGCCCTGAAAGGCCGCTTCATGGAGCGGAGTTCTGTCAGACCAGAAGTCTGAGACACAGAGAGTCAAATTAGTTATGTTTCCACATTCAGAAAGCACAAAGACCAAGACCACTGTAACCTCATCCACAAACATACACACTTCTGGCAGGGCTGGACTGGGACAAAAAAAAAAAATCAGCCCAGGCATTTTGACTAGAGACCGGCCCACCAGGTATTATAGGAAAAACCATAAAGCCTTTGAATGAAAACAAACGTTGTTGTGACAGTGATGTACACAGTCTTGTTGGTATATATGTATCAATCTAATAAACTTAAACCTACACCACCCTCCCTATTCTGGTATTCTAAACAGTACTTAGCCGAAACCCAAAGACTGCTTGGTTGAGTTAACTTCCTGAACTATCTACAACATATGGTGGAAACCTGAAATTAAGACAGAAGACTAGAGGTGAGACATGACCATTACTGAATATTAAAAATAATAAATGACAGATTTAGTGATATTTTCATAAACTATTTATTTACCACATCAATAAACAGCATGGCAGGGCAAAATATTTTTTCTAACATGGCAACCTTTTAAAAGTGAAAGGAGACAGAAAGACAAGTGAGAAAGAATAAAACTTAACTGACTTTTTGATGGCATTTTACACAAAGTACTAGTACAGTATCTAGAAAATGTGGGAAAATACTGGCATCATGTACAGTACTTTCTTCTGAGGAAATTATGTTGGGACCCTGAAAAAAAACTTACTACATACAATAATGGATTTCTATAAATTTGACATCAGATGAAAACTTTGGTTGTAAGATTCGGATAATTATTTGTTAAAAGCTAGAAATTTTAAATGAGAATAACAAAGAAAAGTATTTCTTTGTGCCCCCCTTTCCCTGTTAATGCCCTACCTGGCCCCATGGCAAAAGCCCCTGCACAGTTACCAGCTGTCAGCTACATAAAAAAAAAGGATCCTGGTGTTATTTGTCTCTCAGAAACAGTTCATAGCTTTCCTTCAACCCATTCATGTCACCTAAAAGGTTAACCTGTTGACAGCTCTGATGATGAATCATCACATCTCCTGGTTTCATCTTCATGTTTCCCTCTCACCAGATAACCAAACCGACATCATGACCAGCAGCTTTTACAGCTGTGGCTCCAACAAACATCAGCTGATACTAGAAAGTAATATTAAATAAATTCTAACAACAGCTGATCACGTTTAAAGGCGCTTCTGCTGTTTAACGCGACCCCTGCTAGTTTCCTCTTTCTGGCGCAAAGCGGGAGATAAACAAGCAAGGGAGAAAAGCAGATCAGCTGATCATTGATCAGTTTCATGATTGAAGTAGCAGCAGGAGAGGGAGGGGGAGAATGAGAGAAGAAGAGGCTGCTGACAGCATAAAGACAGAATAAATCCAGCTTTGTGTCTTTTTTTATTGTAGCTGAAGTCCGGGACAAATCCGTTTATTTTCAGCTCAATACAAAACATGTAATATTAACTCTGAATACCAGAGGATTCCGTTTTTTTACAGGACGGAAGGCAACTCTACTAACTAACCTTGAATAAAATAAAGTTCACTATCAGTAACATCATAGCACCCACCCAACTGTATAGAAACTCCGTCATGCTAGCTAGCACACAGTACGAGTTATCGTCACTGACTGTAAAAAGTTAGCACAACAAAAATAAACTGCACCTAAACTTGGTTTATATCTGACCCAGACAGGCTGCAGGTCATAACTTCTTACCTGAAGCTCATTTCACCTGACAGCCGCCTTGGGTCTCTCCACCTCCGCCTCCCCTTCCCCCCATCCACCTGCTGGCTTCCACCACTTGCTAATTTTACTGAATCTGTGAAAGCTCCACCATAGCCACTACCAAACAATTGAGTTATTTTTACACGTCTGCCAGCATCTATCCAATCCGCCACCTGTCACTGTTTACACGGTTAGGGGGGGAAAAAGACAACAACAACAAAACATCGGCCCATTTAAACCAAAAATTACCATCGCCCACCTGGACTGCCTGGACTGATAGCTGGACTGCCCGATGGCCAGACCAGCTATGACTTCTGGTTTCTCAACATGACCCCAACCCTAAAATGCTAAACCGGTTTCATCCCAGATGTCTACAGCAGCATCAGACTTCACATGGAAAGCTTTTAGGCCTGGAAACACTAATGCAAAAAAACCATCCAAACATTAAACTCACCAGCCATCAGCGAGTTACACACCAACCCTCCGTAGATGGACAAAGGCCTCTCCCAAGGTTGCGACCACAGGGAAACGTCTGTTTGCACAGCAGCCATGATGAAAACGAAACAGCAGCAGATTCCTTCACCTCCTTCACCCAGCCAGATACACAAACCTGAATCCGGCCTTCCTCACTCTCTTATCTGGGCCCTTGGTCACCTCCCCCACATTACTACCTTCCACCCACTCTCACCCCAGTGAATGGCCAGAGTTAACGGTATATGCATTACATTACAATAGCTGCTAGAATGATCCTGAGGTGTCTTCAACAAAGCACTTAAAGACACACAGACCAGGACAAGCCCCATAAGACCCTTAAATATATTACTGCCACATGAACTAAATGAAATGCCTTAAACTAACAAAAAAAGTCCCTAGCTCCAACAGAAACATGTTGTCTTAACATTGAACACATGCTGAACTTCTTGATATGATGTTTGTTTCTGTCTTGCAAATCCCCGTCGCTGACCCTGAAGAGCGACACCTCTTTATCAGCTCCTTTTTCACAAGTGTGGTTTTTTTTGGCACTCTTCCTTACAATCAGATTCATCTACAAAAGAAATATTTGTTTGATGCCTCTCCAGGATCTGCAAAAATTACATGTGAGAACATAGCACATGCCATATATATTAGAAAGTACACTTTGGTTCCCACGTTGGGTTTTCTGAAAGTTTACTTATCATTTGAAGAAAAGAAAAAGAAAGAAAAAAAAAGCTCGCAGGTTTCAAAGGAGTGTCAATCATGAAAGCTACTTTTAGACGCTTCCTCATTCACAAAGGTACCGCAGTAGGTAGGAGCGTGTACACCGCTGCACTACGGCATTCATGATAAACAAACATGCTCTGACACGCTTCACAAAACAGTGGATTTTATTTAAAAAACAAACTTTGAGGTCTCTCGATAAGTTACAGTAGCTTTGTTTCCCTGTGAGCTTACAAGCAGCCAGCCCTTTACCCTCTCTGTTCAATGTCATCTTTACATTTTCAAAAAGTGCTTATAAATTCTCAAGGTGTGCAACAAATTCCAGTTATTTAAAAAAGTCTCTTCCACCAACTCCCTTTTGGTGAGTAAATGTAAACAAAATGTTAGCCCGCACCATGAAGATCACATAGGAAACTTATATAAGCAGTTTGAAGAGAGGCAGAGGTGCTGAGAGGTCACTGTCATCAACTTTCTGTTTCTGTTGCTCTCTGTGGCACATCAGGAGTAAGCCTCATTTTTATGGCTCTTTTCCTGTCTCCACTGTCGCCGAGGGCCTGTGGCGTCGACGGCGAGATCCATGACCCCATCAGGCATCAGCCACTGCAGGAGCAGCAGGAAGAGGAAGTCCAGCACGGCCACAAACGCAAAGATGGAGCCAGCGACGGGGCCGCAGTGAGCCCTCAGCCTCCGTAACCGTCTGTCCAGGGGAAGAACTTCCTCTCCGACCACCCTGTCGTACACCTGACAGGGAAAAAACACATTGATCACCTGAGTGTCCTTCAGTAGTTAAACATGTAAAAACCACCACCTAGACATAAACTGGAATATATTTTTTTAGGATTAGATTTGGATTTGTTTTAGAAATTCTAAATACTGAAATAGACTTTTGTTGTTGTTGTTTTGCTGTGTTTATTTTTTAAAAATGCTGTGAAAGAAGAAGAAAAAATGGCTGATTACAGAAACTTCTGTATGTCTGTGAAGGCTCTCAGTCATCCAGGTCATCGTAGTCAAAGGAGCTTGCAAAGAAAAGCGTCTGTACTTCTTTAAGTTGCTTGAAGACGTTTCACCTCTCATCCGAGAAGCTTCTTCAGTTCTAAGGTCAAATGGTGGAGAGTCCCAGATATAAACCTAGTGGG